GTTCAGAGGCTTCCTCAAGAGTTGTTGGGACAGCTGCAGGGTTTTTGGGTGTTTTGTTAAAACACAAATGGTGTGTTTAAGTTTCCTGTTATTTTTTGGAGCTACAGGTAAAGTCTTGAGTTTGTCGCGGGTCTGGGGGAGGTTCAGCCCCCACCCCTTCTTCTCCTCTCTCTCTCTCTCTCTCTCTGTCTCTGTCTCTGTCTCTGTCTCTGTCTCTCTCCCTCCGCAGCGAAATCCAGGCTTTAGTGCTCCGACGCTTCTGCAGCCGCGTTCTGCTTTGAAGCGTTTATTTAGCAACGAGCTATCATGCTAAAGCAAGAGTTGACTCCTCCCACACTAAGAAAACAGGAGGGGAGGGGTCAGTTGCGCTCCTGTGTAGTGGAGCACAGAGAGGGAGAGAGACGACGGAAAAAAACAAGCAGGAAAATGAAACTTATCGCTGTCTTTTTTTTAACCGACCTCAAAAAAAGTTATCGTGCGATTAATTGATTTATTGACTATCGCGACAGGCCTAAAATTCATTGATATGGATTGGAAAACTGAAAGTTGTAATTTTTTTGTTTAGAAATTAAAAAAGTAAATGGGTAACATAAACATTTGGGTGCTGCAATTGAGTTTTGTAGAGTTCACTTGATAATTGTAACAAAAAATTGTTATTTTTAAAGACTGTTATTAGGTTGGTGCAGGGTTCCCATTTAGGCAATAAAATATTGTCTTGACTGCTTAGCTACAAACAAATATGACAGTGGTAATGAAGGCTAAGATTAGAAAAAGCAGCAAAAGCATATTAACAAACGTGTTGCAGTTCAAGCTGTCGATCTGTTGCTGTGCTTTTATTTTTATCTGACAAACTTACAGTATTGTTTTTAATCACAACAACTTACACACTGTTTAATAAAACTCTGCCATGACTAGTCAGCACAAATAACATTAGCCAAAATATACCTCCTCCTTGTACATCTGTGACATGACAGATTATCACAGATTTAGGTAACTGTATTTTGCAACGGGAACATAAACAAATACCTGTTGTTAACTCCGAACGCTTTCACTACATGCAGCAGCTGTTTTTGTTCCAGTGCAGAAACATTGAGGATATACAGCATATTGCACGTTGTCGTCTTTTCTGTTTAGTTTTAAATGTTCCCATGCTTTTTATAATTTGTCATTTTCCGAGCAATTCGTTTTGGCACTCTTTGTCTTCTTCTAATGGTTAATATAGTGCTTAGCAAGCATACACACGTCGACAATGTAGTGGAAGAGCTAACTTCGTAGGGTTGTGTAACCCATAACATTCCGGCCGGATGAAAGTGCACTGTATTAACAGTATGTATTCTTCAAGGCAGATAATTTGCCACAAGGATATTTTGTAATTGAAATACTTGAATTTTTTGAGGAATCATTTCAGCCCTAATTTACACAGCATCTTTCTACCCACCCAAGACACTCAAGGTGCTTAACTACCCAATCCGTGTCCTCATTTACCCATCAACACAGTCATACAGCATTTAGTCAACTCAGTTAGCAGTAAACTATAGTACGCTATGATCTTACAGGTAGAATTTTATGCACAAGGTTCATACTAACACGCACAGCATTTGTTTTTTCATGTCTTTTACAGTCTACATGGAAAAGTTGGGCACCAGATACATATCCTGCTTAGGGCCCCCAAATATTTAGGGCCATCTCCCCACAACCCTACAAAACACCACCACCTGTCTGAACAAACAATAATATCAGGACTACCTATGCTACACTTTTAAAATATCACCCGTTTGAATATAACATCATATAAAACCAGAATCACTCATTCAGTGTCATTTTATCACTTTAAGCTTTGACCAGTGAACAATCGCATTGAGGTGAAATTATTTTAGAAAATTACAATTTAACTTTGAACTTTCTTGTCATTAAAAATACATGAATATTAAAAACCACTGGTAACAATACAGGCAAACAAAATCAACAGAATATAAAACCCCTCATTTATATTTCATATTTGATCATTAACCTCTCCGTGGGCTGCCACCTTATCGTGGTAGATAGGTTTGAGTGTCCCAATGATCCTAGGAGCTATGTTGTCGGGAGCTTCATGCCCCCTGTAGGGTCACCCAAGACAACAGATCCTAGGTGAGGAATTAAAGTGCAGCCCAAAGACCCCTATGATGAACACAATAAATGGATTCAGTGTTCCCTCGCCCGGACGCGGGTCACCGGGGCCCCACTCTGGAGCCAGGCCTGGAGGTGGGGCACATTGGAGAAGCGCCTGGTGGCAGGGCTTTCACCCATGGAGCCCGGTCAGGCACAGCCCGAAGAGGAGACGTGGGTCCCCCTTCCCATGGACTCACCACCTGTAGGAAGGGCCGTAGGGTTCGGGTGCAATGTGTGTTGGGCAGTGGTCGAAGGTAGTGTGGGGTCACCTCGAGTTAAGAAACAAGATTTACTGCCTCAAAGCAGGCCTCGGACAGGCCTGACGAGAGGACAAGAACTCTGTCACAAACTGAGCTCTATTTAGGCCATGACAGGTCATTCTAACCTCAGTTCTCTTAATCAGATAATGGACAGAACAATCTCTTCTGTTCGTGATTCATTTGTTGTTTAACTAAGAATGTTTATACATTTGTT